TAGATATGATAACAAATAGTTGAAGGAGTGGCCATCTGAAACCGTCTATATTTTTCTCCAACAGTAGAACTATAAGTCATCTGTTAAAAGCAAGGGCAGGGAATAAAAAATAGAAAATAAACATTTGGGGAAGAGTAGAGAAGATCTGAAATGGTTTTTATAAAGACTAAACTAGAAACTGACCAGAGAAACCTAGTTATGTTGCTGGGCAGTAATGAAGAACCAGGTAAGGCCAACGGTCATTAACTGATAATTCGATCAATCTGAAAATAGATACTACTCTAACAGCTGCATGTATTCATACTGTTACCTTGTTATTAACCAAATAAGAAATCACTTAAGAGCCTTTTGTGGATATACTGGATAATTTTAATTGGGTTTATCAGCCAGAACCTTCAGTTTATAAGATCACTTACATTGTGTATTAACATGTATTATATTAATTTGCCCTGATTGTTTTTCTGAATGTAGAGAAAAAATGCAAGAATCAAATTTGTGTATATGTGCAGGAAATTACCCTCCATAGGAGAAAATGATTCTATGCAGCCCAAGGGAGATCAATGTGGAGACCTTAGGAGAGAGGTAAATGATACATACTTCTTCCTTTAACAAGATAAAAAGGAACCCATGACCAAGATGTGTCTTTAATCTCTTACTATTATTAGAAACTGGTTTAAAAAATGTACATGAGGAATGCACAAAAAAAAAAAAATCACTGGCTGCCAACATGAAAGCCATCACAGGTTGTAGTAAGCTTTGGATTACTTAAACCATGTTTGAACAAACTCTTTAGGAATAAGATTGGTTTGGAGAAGCAAGATCACATGTGTGAATCTAGGTGGGTGGGGATTTTAGAAACACCCAGGCAATTTTCTTTTTTTTTTCTTTTTTTTTTAAAGATTTTATTTATTTTTTTGATAGAGAGAGACACAGTGAGAGAGGGAACACAAGCAGGGGGAGTGGGAGAGGGAGAAGCAGGCTTCCCACAGAGTAGGGAGCCCGATGTGGGGCTCGATCCCAGGACCCTGGGATCATGACCTGAGCCGAAGGCAGACACTTAACCGACTGAGCCACTCAGGCACCCCCAGGGCAATTTTCGAACTACATGCCCTCCATGTCTCAAGCAATTGTGACCCCTACACACATACATATACATACTCCCCTGAACATCGGAGGTGAGGGAATGATTACATTACATGTTGAACATGCCAGGTGCTTTACATTTGTTCATTCCTTTGATTTGATTTGACTGAATATAATGTTTACAACTCTATGAGAATGGTACTTTAACTCCATTTGTACACATAAGAAAACTGAGGCTCATAAACAACTTTTCTGAACCCTGCTGGGTAGGAAGCAGAAGAACTTCAATTTGACTCTAGGTGTATTCTAACTCCAGAGTGTATTGTTTCCACTACAACGTGCCTTCTGAATAGACAAAAGCCTTTGAAACATGGTGGGACATACTTATTCCCTAATTTCTAACTACCTACAAGTGGTAATATGTAAAATTAAACTTGGCCACACAAACAAAATCCAATTATTACCTGATTTTAAAATTGACATTTGGGTGCCTGGGTGGCCCAGTCATTAAGCCTCTGCCTTCAGCTCAGGTCATGGTCCCAGGGTCCTGGGATCGAGCCCCGCATTGGGCTCCCTCCTCGGCGGGAAGCCTGCTTCTCCCTCTCCCACTCCCTCTGCTTGTGTTCCTGCTCTTGCTGTCTCTCTCTGTCAAATAAATAAATAAATAATTTTTTTAAATGAATAAATAAAGTAAAATTGACATTTACAATAAACGTAAATGTGTCTATTTAAATAACATTTACAACTTTCAAATAGTGGGCATATCCATTATCTTTCTTTTTCTAACCATATAATAATTCTGTGAGGAAGCTCATGACACATTCATTACCAACCATAGCCATATGACTGTGCTACCCTGAACCTGATGACTAAACATTTAAGCTCCAAATTCAAAGAAGACACCACTGGCTCACACCTTCTTAGATCATCTGCTTTTTGGTTGTTTTCTCTGCTCATATTGTTATGACGGGCTCCAATGAATAATTCATACTTCTGTCAAAGCAAGGCTTTTTTAACATACATTTGCATATTTGGAGATAGTCTCTTTACCATGATCTCTCCCCCCTCGGCCTAGGCAGGCAAAAGAACCAATTTTGATGGCTCATACACTGCATGATTTATCCTCCACTAAAATAAATGATCTCTTCTATTTCCCTGAAGCCTGTTCATGTCAGTCCTCCTAAGTTGGGTTGTCTTGGTTTTGTGAGTGCACAACTGGAGGAATAAAATCAAGCATATGACAAGGAAAAAAAAGATTCTGATATTTTTGGCATAATGTCATCCTATACTCCTTATTCTTACAATGGCTTCCCCTTAAGAACAGAAAAGTCAAGACCTATCCCACCACTCCCTGAGGATCTGAAGGTTAAGACTCAACATCTTTCAAACTAGTCCCTGTGAGAGCAATTCCTTTGCCTCACAAACCATAATTTCATTCCCCACCTCTCTTTCTGTGTTGAGATCATCATCACAGGCAAGTAGGAAGTAACTTTCGGACTGAATGCAGTTTTTTTTTCCCATGCCACTCCTCTGACTCACTCCCAAGTTCTGTTGTGAATGGTGATAAGGCACTAAGGTCTGCATTAATACACTCAGTTACTGGACATTTAAATAATATGTGTTGACTAAGCACCTACTCACTAAAAAAGGCCTTTGCTAAGTGCTCCAGAAAATACAAAGATGGAGGAGAAAGAGCATGCATCATTGGGGGAAAGTGCTGTCAACACACACCAGAAGACAATACTTCACATCTTTGAAAAAAATTATTTTTTTAAAAAGTAAATTTTTAAAAGCCATTAAAATATTTATATAATTTGACCCAATAAATTATTTTTCCTTTCCACTTATTTCAAGGGAAAATTTAGCAGTGGAGTGAAAAATAAAAAGTATATTGGTGAAGATGGTCCTTGAAAGAATCACCTACTCCAGGCACCTGGGTGGCTCAGTCGGCTAAGAGTCTGCCTTTGGCTCAGGTCATAATACCAGGGTCCTGGGATCAAGTCCCGCATTGGGCTCCTTGCTCAGCGGGGTGTCGCTTCTGCCTCTCCCCCTGCCTATACCCCTGTTCATGCTCTCTCTCTCAAATAAATAAATAAAATCTTAAAAAAAAAAAGAAAGAATCACCTACAGTTAAAAAAAAAAAGAAAATATCTAAATACATTAGGAGATGCTTTCAGTGTTTTATGATAAATCTATTCAGTATAAGATGATTCACCCTTTAAAATGCAGCCACTGAAATTGTTAATAATTGATGAATCTATGTACTATATCTGCAAGTTTTCTTTAAGTTTGAAATGACATCAAAATAAAAAGTTATAATGCACATTTTATACAACAATTAGGTACGTATACAGCTACTAAAATAATATATACAGCTCCTAGAAATAAAAATTTAATAGCACAGGGGTATGCTTATAAAAATTACATTAGGAATAAAAAGCATAATACAAAGTTATACACTATGATATAACTGTATGAAAAAAGCTTGTAGGGCGCCTGGGTGGCTCAGTTGGTTAAGCGACTGCCTTCGGCTCAGGTCATGATCCTGGAGTCCCGGGATCGAGTCCCGCATCGGGCTCCCTGCTCGGCGCGGAGTCTGCTTCTCCCTCTGGCCCTCCCCCCTCTCATGTGCTCTCTCTCTCATTCTCTCTCTCAAATAAATAAATGAAATCTTTAAAAAAAAAAAAAAAGCTTGTATATGTTAAAAGTACTTAAAGGTTAACATGTAAAATGAAAATGGTTTGTTTAGGTAATTTTGTTCAAAAGTTTTAAAAATTTTTTTTCATTGTTTTTACTAAAAAAAAAAAAAAACATCAGAATATCAGGCATGAGATATTAGGATCTAATTGAAATATGTAAGGGAAGGGTGGAGAGGAGCCCACTCCTTCCAGTGCCTCTTGTCTGATGTGCACATTATATAAAAAATGTGTAAGAAATTGAACACTTGCCTAATTGCAGTCCTAGAGTGAATTCATTAGCCATTAGCTATCAGTGATTTACAAGATAAAGGCATAGAATTTGAATATAAAAGAGTCCTCTAAAACCACCTGATTCAGCTTTCTTTCTCAGTAGGTTAATCAGATTCATAAGGGAATGAGTGATTTTTTTTCTTAGGCTACACAGTTAGTTGGTGAGTAAACTAAGACTAAAATTTAAGTTTTAGTACCCAACCTAATTACACATTCCAGTTCTTTAGTAGGCAGTATATCTCACAAAGTAACCTCAGCACAACCTTCCAGATAGAGTTCCTACTCCTTCCCAACACATGAGACAGAAATGTCTTTTCTCACTTCCGCGCTCTTCTTGCCTCTGTGTTTTCATGGGGTGTGCCCTGGCCTGCAAACACTGCCAACGTCCCCCTCCTTAGCCTCACCCCGCACATGCTCTTAGCACACTCTACCGTCCACTCATTTGCCAGCAGTAGCGAGTTAGAATACTTTTTTCAAAGGACATATTTGGAAAAAGACAAAGTCAGTTTTAGTTCCAACTGTTTTGCTTGCTTATGCCACAACTTACACGCTTACTCAATTACTTCTCTGAATCTCTGTTTCATATTCTACAAGAAGAACAGTATTTTATCACAGAGAAGGGTGAATTCAGAGGTAGTAGTACCCATTAGTGCTTAGAAAGTATTTTCTGATCACCCTCAGCTTGCTGTGGCAAAAAAGGAGGTGTGACAGCAAAACACAGGCAAGTGTCACATCCTCCTGAATTAAAAATAATGACTCCAGAGCATGTGGAGTAGTTGCAAGCTTTCATGAAATAGCCATCATCTGCTATCATGTTTAGTCACAATTTACCAGAATAAATAAAATTCTTACTCAGTTGTGAAATTCCCTGTTTCTGATTTCATTCCACAAGTCATGCTATTGGTTCAAGTTGGTTCCTTCAGACTTGTTTAGCAAGTTAGATTTTAATTATGTGGGATTTCCTCCTTTGTCTTCAGCTCCTTCATAGGATTACACATAATGCATGATAGTCATTCATTTGTGTAGAAATCTCAAAGAAGTTGGATAGGCAGAAGAGAGGATCTCTTCATTGTTCAGGATCAAAATGTATAGGTAAGTCCTGTTTTTGTCTCTGTAGTTTTAGAAATTTTACTGTATCTTAGAGCATGTGAAAAATATACAGAAGCTGAAGAAATTTTGACTGTGTCTAGCAATCTTTTAGTTACTTTTCCAGAAACTTCACTGAAACTTTTATTGTTTAGATAACATGCTTGATACTGTTTAAATAAGGTGCTTACCGCATGACTGATTTTTTTTACAAAATGAGTAAATGTAAGGAGACAGCTTAGGATTATGAAAACATATCTATAAATAAGGAAGTGTTTTTGTTCTCTCATGCTTTACTTTTCAAAAAGTGATGTGTGGATTTTAAAAATATAATCAGTAAAAAATTCCTCTGTTGCTTTAGAATTTTTCCAGGATTCTGTATTGTGACTTCTGTATCATTACTGGGTATGAAATACACAATGAAATCTAAAGTCCTCTTTAAGAAAATAAGATAGTGGGGCGCCTGGGTGGCTCAGTCATTAAGTGTCTGCCTTCGGCTCAGGTCATGACCCCAGGGTCCTGGGATCGAGTCCCACATCGGGCTCCCTGCTCTGTGGGGAGGCCTGCTTCTCCCTCTCCTACTCCCCTTGCTTGTTTTCCCTCTCTCACTGTCTCTCTCTGTTAAATAAATAAATAAAATCTTAAAAAAAAAAAAAAGAAAGAAAATAAGATAGTATTTGTCTACTTTTCATATACTTGCCACATCATTATTTTCAAGTAAATTCTTATCGATACTTAAGAAAAAGTAGTATTTGTTTAGTTTTCTTTTTAGTTAATGAATACTGATTTTCATGCACATTCACATAAAAAAAGCAGCAAATTGTGGTATCATCTACAGTTAGATGGTACAATCTCAAAATCACTACATAATTTGATGTGTTTGTATGTGCATCTATGAACGAACATATTGTTCATTTTGTTTTTCCATTAACACAGAAAAATGTGATATTAAGTCATTTTAAAAAGGTGGTAAAAGCATAAGTAATGTGTTGGCTATGTTAAGTGTAGCTGAGTTTACTCTAAGTCTACCACACTTTAGAAAACTCAATCAAAATTTAAATTATTTTAGTAAAATATATGTACAACTATGCACATTTGAATATATATATATAGACACAAGTGAAAAATGGGTAGCCATCTAAGTTTCTAACAATAAATAATTAAGAATTAACAATAATATAAATAAAATAACTTCATATTACACAACGGATATGATGAATTCATTAAAAGAGTTAAAAACCTATGAATTTATATACTGTATCTGTCCTTACTTTATGCAAAAAAAATCACAGAATTATATTTACTCATTGACTAACACTTCACAAAGTATACATGTGAGAAAGTCTAATGAGGTACATAAAACACTAATCATATTTGTTGTATTAAAGTGGTAAGCTTGGGGCACCCGGGTGGCTTAGTCTGTTGAGGGGCCAGCTCTTGATTTTGGCTCAGGTCATGATCTCAGAGACCTGAAATCGAGCCCCTACGACAAGCTCCGTGTCATGTCCCCTGAGGAGCCCCATGTTGGGCTCCATACTCAGCAGGGAGTCTGATTCAGGATTCTCTCTCTCCCTCTGCCCCTTCCTCCGCTCTCTATCTCTCTCTAAAATAAATATGTAAATCTTTAAAAGATAAGTGGTAAGCCTATGAATTATATTTTTCCATTATTTTTTAAATTTCTATAACAATGTAATATTGTTTTGGTAATCACTATACAGTTTGAAATGCATTTTGCTGAAACATTTGTATTTTCATTTTGTAAAGAAATTTCTCTGATTTTTCAAAAATTGACCTTTATAAGCAGCTAGATGTACATCAAAATATCATTCGAGGAAAATAAAGAAAGATAGATAAATAATGCAAATAGTGAAAGAGATATACAATTTTGGAATGCCTTGAATCAATCTAATTCCTAAGTTGATTCATCCTTACATGAAATACGACACTCAATCAGAACCAAATTTCCAATTACAAAAGACTCTTCTTTGAAACCTTGATTTTTACAGATCACAGTCTGAAATATTTTCTTTCTTAATAGTCTGTATCTATTAAAAATCAATTTGTTATTCCTTTTTTAACCTAAAATTTATATCATTCCCAATTCATTTTGTTCATGGATTGGTTGGTTTTATCAGAATGAGATCATCAGGGTTACCAAGCCAAATTGATGAAATTTTGAAAATAATTTATGAATCCGCATCCATCAGTTTGAGTATCCGTGATTAGAAAACTATGCCTTCTGTCAACCTGAATAAAGAGCAGACTTTTCGGTGGAAAGGGGAAGGCATATTTAAATGGATGAGGGAGTTAAAATCAGAAATATTTTCATTCTGACAATTCTACTTTGAAGCCAGGACATCTGCCTGAGTCTAATATTACAAGGAATGAATGAAAACATACAGTTTCCTTCTCAGCTGGAATATTCCTGTCAGCATAAAAGCATGCCATGCTATCTCCAATTTAAATCTCAAACTCCATGATTTTTCCAATTCCTCCATATGCTCTGAGAAAGCAGAGTATCCAAATTGGGAAAGGGAAAGGAAATAAAAGTGTGTAAAATATTTTTTATGTAATTCTAGGTAATTTTTGGTAGATCTCCAGGTAAATTCTGTGATACTTTTGGTTGAAAATGGGCTCTCTTGGACAGTTTGCTTACTTTTATATATAAATTAAACCTCCAGATCCCTCCAGGTTGTCCTTTCCTAAAGGTTACAAAATGGTGTGTTTATTTCTTTACCCACCTTGCTCACTCCTCTCCAAAGAAGGAAATCATACCACAGGGCCCAGGAACCTGGACAGCTACATTATCATAATATAATCATTATTCATTTCAAATCCCTGGGTACTCCAGATTTTTTTGTCAAGTCTACATAGGGAGTGTCTATGACTACTACATTACATAAAAAGTATGAAATGAGGTTTGAAAAACAGGATAAAGATTTATAAGTTGGAATTCAGAATGCAGTTTAAGGAAAGACTCAAGGTAAGGGAGTATATCTCAACTCAGGAAGAGACAAGTCTTAGCAGAATGCCTCAGACCATAACAAATCTTATTTACATTTTCTTCCCTTTTTGTCTGTGCTTGTGATATGATTAACTGATTAAACGGACATGCCAAAGCCCATCAGGTAGCCTGCCTTCTTCCAGCCCAAAACAACATGAGACAAAAGTAGAGAAAAAAGCCAAGACTGTCAGAAATACATTTCAAACTCTGCCTGTTGCTTCAATCCTGCTTTATGAATTGCTATGTTAACTTTCAAAAACCATGCTTAAAATTGTAAATCATTAGGCAAAGTCTGTATCTCTTAATAGAAATTAGACGAGTGTCAACTTATCTTTACAGTCACAGAGCCCCAAAAATGTGAATTTAAAGTTCAAGTTTTGCTCACAAAAACCTCAGCTTGCATGCTAAAACAGTTGCCACATTTAGCCAGAATGTTTTTCTAAAGGAGGTACAGGCTGGGAGGGGTTGTCCTCTGGAAGACATTCCCAACTTATTTCCTCAGAAATTTGTTACTTACCTGACTTTTATGCTGCTTCAGCCCCCAACACGGCTATGGTTGATACCCCTAAAATAAATCATGAGGACAAAACTCAACATCGACTATTGTAAGGGAACTTAAGGATATTCAATCCAATTCCTTAAAAGGTATTGCTCCAACTTGAAGGATCCCATTCTCTTGAGCAAAGAAAACTTGCCATAACGGCACAATTTTTCAGAGTATGCTTTAAGTCTAAATACAGCACATGCTTATGATATGTAAAATAGAATCACCATCCTAATAAAACCATTCTTTGGGTAACTGTCTAAAACAATTGAAAATAAAATTGACTTTGGAAAAGTTTACACACTAATGACTAACTCAGCAGAAAGAAAATGGCAGATTTGTTGAATATTTACAGTATCCATTTGCCAGAGATATGAACAAGTGCCTCAGTGATTAATAGATATATGAGCTCAAACTTCAAGCAAGTATATTAAAAAGAGCCATTGAATGTATTTTTTCTAACCTAGACAAATTTTTATTCTGACGATCTTACTTCTTAGCCAGGATATCGGCCTGAGTTTAAAACGGCAAAGAATGAATTAAAACATACAGTTTGCTTCTCTGTTGGAATAGTCCCATTATCATAAAGACACACCATACTATCTCCAGTTAAACAATAAAACAAAGCAAAACTCCTTCCTTGACCTACATCCCTCCTCCAGCTATTGCCTTATTTCTCATTTCCTCCCCTAACAGCAAAGCTCTTCCAAAGATTTGTCTAGATGCGTTGCCTCCATTTCAATTTTCTTCTCCTATTCACTCCCTTTACTTTTTAAATTTTTTATTGTGAAATGTATCACACAAAGACTAATATTAAAATGAACCCCAAAATAGTCATCATTTATTAAGAAAAATAGCATCACCAGGTAACATCCTGTCCATTAACTGCCCTCTCAACGACCTTGCCCAATCTGTTATCTGGCATGTTATCTAAATGTCCTTGATTTTCTTTATGGTTTTACCATTCAAAGACAGATCCCCAAATAACATATCATTTAGTTCTACCTATATTTGAAATTAATATAAATGGGATCAAAATTATGTTTTATAAAGTATGTATAGTAATAATTTATTCATTCACACAGCTATATGATGTTCCATTGTAAGAGTATACTCTAACTTACGTATCTGCTCTTCTGGTATTTTGCCATTACAAATACTGCAGCTCTGAACATTCTCAAATGGATCTCGTGGCACAAAAGTGCCAGAGCTTATCCGGAAAATGGATTTTCTGGGTCATAGAGTGTGGTGCATGTTTATCTTTAACCTATTCCCTCTTATCCCACTGCAAAAATGTTCTCAGCCCTACAGATGTGAAATAGCTCATAAATAAATCTTTTTAAAAAATGAAGGTTTCTGAGTAGCAAGACCATACCTACTGAAACAGTCTATCTGGATGTTGGATGCAGGAATCTTTCTTTTTCCAAGCTTCTCAATTGATTCATATGCACGCAAAAA